AGCTAATATACGTTTTCTGTTCATAATAAAAATAAGATAATAATACAAAGATAACCAAAAAATCCCCATGTATTGAGAATAGAAACAAACATATAATAAAAAGATCAACAAAGGTAAATGCTGGATCATGAAAAGGTGTAAAATTTGACAAACCTTAGGCAAGTCTGATTAACAACAACAACAAAAGGGTAGGGGAGATAAGTAGGAGAAGGGGAGGGAGAAAAGAAGATTCTTTCTTATAATATTAAGCAAAAATCACCTACAAGTGGATTATAGAACTAATTGTGGAAGTTAAAATTAAGTTCTAGAAATAAAACCAGAGACTATCTGGGATATGTAAAGATTTCTTAAATAGGACACACCAAAAAGCATTAATCACAAAGAAACATAATATAATGAATTAAGTAAAAGTAATAACCTCTGTCAAACAAAAATCCACAAAACCCAAAACACAAAAAAACCAAAGAGAGTAAAAGAGAAGCCATCAAGTCACGAAGAAGATATCTGCACCCAAATGTCAGAAATTATAGAAGGGTCTGATATTTTACCCTGCTTGGAAGTTCAACGTTAGTCTGCCAAGTTTGTGGGTGTTGGTAGAAGACACAAGACTCCAGAATCAGAGATGGTGGACAGTTAATGTACATAATAGTAGCTAAGTCAAAGAACGTCGAATCTGCCTTGCTCACTACTGGTGCCGATATACATAGAGGACAGTCTCTCCTTTAAAAAAAAAAAAAAAAAAGAGGTTGTGTCTTGTATTGTCATTTTTTTCCCTTATCTTTTTAACCCTAAGACTTGTAGATGTTGGGAATCAGACCACTTTCTGTGCCTATACCTTGAGTACCCCACTTTCTCCCCTTTATCATCACAATCACATAGCCTAGGAACTCAGAATTTCAGCTGCTTCAAGTCACTCCAGAACCTCTCAGACCAGGCAGCAGAGGCAGGGAATGTAGAGCAGCTGCTGAAGGAAAAGAATAGGATATGGCTAGTGTGATGGCCTTTCCCAATCACATATGATTACATGAAAAACAATATTTATTGTGACTGAGATTTCAGTTTTGTGCCCTGTCAATTTGCTACTAAAGTGATGTGGAACTAAAGCCACTCCTTTCGAGCGGTAAGATGATGGAAGAGAGGAGTGGTCACTAAGGAAGAACCTTAGTTGTTAGGGCACAAGAAGATGCCCATATGAGGTTTATGTATGTGCCTAATCTTCACAATGATGATTAAAATGCTGTATAATGCTAAGGAAAATTTATTAAATGAAGAAAAAAAACTAAACTAAAACGATGCTTTGGCTATATAAAAGCAATACTAATCAAAATAAATTATGTAGATTGCTTTACATTTATGCCTAATTACCAGGCAGCACAATAATGATTACATCATTATTTTTGTCAGATTAACTTGGTTATCAATTTTAATTACAGCTGTAAATTCTAAATACTCAACCCTTGTAATTTACTGTTTTTAAACAATTATTTACTGAGCCCCTTCTACATGCCAGGCATCAAATTATAAAGTGGGAATAAAAACAATAAAACAATCCCTGCTCCTATGGGTTTAAAATCTCGTTGAAGAGAGAGACAAGTATTAGGCAAATGTCTAGCAGAGGAACTGACAATAAATATATTTTTAAAAGAAGGCAAGGACATGAGAGGAATATCCATTCCAGGGCTAGGAGGTCAGGTAAGGCTTCAATAAAGAGATGCCAGAGATGATTCCTAAAGAACTAGTCGAGTTAGCCAGGAGAAAGGGCAGGGTAAACTAGAAGAAGAAATCTCAAGCAAAAGGAGGAAGAAATGCATTGGCCTCAGAAATGAGACACTGTATGGAGTGTTTGAGAAACTGCTCAGTCGGAACACAATGCTATATAGAGTTCTGAGACAATGAGGCTAGAAAGTAAGTAGGAGCCAGACTGATAGAGGACTTGACTATTATACTAAGTGAGTGAAATCTTGCCTGTAATAGGGAACCACTGCAGGATTTCCAGAAGGATAATGACATGATGAGATTTACATTTCAGATGTATCACTTTGACTTCACTGTGGAGAGTGAAGCAGTGAAGCTCAACATTGGAGGACAGTTAGAAGCCAGTTGAAATCATTTAGGTGACAGATGCTGGTGGCTTAGGTTAGGCTATTAAGGAAGGAGAGGATTGGATGGACTTGAGAGATATGTAACAAGTACAGCTGGGACGTCTCAGTGATTGATTGAATAGAAGAGAAAGAGGGAAGTTGGAGATGGATTTCTGAGTTAGGCAAATGCATGGTGGTGTGGCATTTACAAGGATAAAAAAGAGAGAAGAGGCAAGGTGGGGGTTCTGTTTTGAATTTTTGTTTTGATGTTTGTGGGGGAACTAGGAGAGTATTAGAAATTATGAGTCTTATCTTCACTAGTTGAGTTTTGTGTGTCTAGGGATCTCTGAAAAGTAATTGAATATATAAGTCTGAGGCTAAGGACAAAGATCTGAGCTTATACACATATTTAAGAGATTGCATTTTGTATCATTTGAAGCCATCAGATAGAGAAAAGCACCAATATCAGTAGCCTAAGGAAAACCAAAATTTGTGGGATGAGCTGATTAAAAACAAATAAAGAAAAACATGAAGAATGCATAACCAAAGAAGGAGGGAGGAAACCAGGAAAGCACATGATCACAAATGTCAAGGGAAGAAAATATTTTAAGTGGGAGCAAGCAGTCAACAAAGCCAAGTGTCGCAGAGTATAAACTGGTATAGTCTTTTTGGATAACAATTCAACACAACTATTAAAGTGTTTCATCCTCAAGTCTATTTCTCAATATTTAATCAAGAAAAAGGTGAGTGCACCTATAATTTCCAATGAGAAAAATTAAAGGACAGTTCACAAAAGTAAAAAAAAAAAAAAAGAAAAAGAAACAAAGAATGTAAATATCCAAAAATAGAGGATTGAATAGAATATAATAGACTGAGCTTCTTGATTATTTCATAGAACTTATGGAGAACAAAGTATATCTACATGGGAAAGACTAAGAAATATTAAGTACAAAAAAGAGCCAGTTACAGACGATATAGACATAATAGTAGTAGTTATTTTTTAATTTATTTCTCTATGTATATATAATTGTAAAAAAAGGTATAGAAAAAAATCTGGAAGAGTATACACCAAACTTAAGTCCACTAGTTAATTCTATGAAGAAAGTTTGTATTTGGTTAGGTATGTGGCCAATAGGGCCTTTTGCTTCATCTGTATTATTTAATTTGTTTTTACAATGAAAATGTGTCCATGCATTAGTTATATGACTAAAAGCATATTTTTAAATCCAGGCGCAGTGGCTCAAGCCTGTAATCATAGCACTTTGGGAAGCTGAGGCAGGAGGATTGCTTGAGGTCAGGAGTTTGAGACTAGCCTGAGCAAGAGTGTTAGCCCATTTCTACAAAAAATAGAAAAAAAAACTAGCTGGGAATGGTGGTCCACACCTGTAGTCCCAGCTGCTTGGAGGCTGAGGCAGAATTGCTTGAGCCTAGGAGTTTGAGGTTGCAGTGTGCTATGATGATGCCATTGTACTCTAGCCTGGGCAACAGAGACTCTCTACCTCACACCTCCCAAAAAATTTAAAATCCTATCAAATATATATTTTTAAATAAATCAAGTAAAATTAACATAGAGAATATCCACTTATCAATTAATGGGTCTTTAGTAATTTAATAAGAATGGGCTTGAAAGTATAAAGAAGACAGAAGATAAAATACAATGAATTAAGACAAAATGAGAGAAAAAACAGTAGACATATGATAACACAGAAAGCCCAGTAATGAACAAGAAGAACAAAGAAGTCAAGGTGAGATTTTTCATGACATGGAGGAGAAAAATAATAATCTCAGGAAACCTGGTTGCTTACCCACAGCTTAAAATAAAAATTGGAGGTCACAATGCTAATGAACCATCACAAAATTTAGTATCTGTATAAGGGATAAGGGATAACAATGGCAAGGCCCAGAGTAACAGGAATAATTCATTAAAAAGTCAAATCAATAAAGTTTAGAAGAGAAATATGATTTAGAGAAGGATCTAGGCAGCATATCAAAGCTAATAATCAAAGAGGTAGAAGGAAAAGGTGGTACAGAGTTTTCAAAATATCTTAGGGTTATATAAAAGGCTGACACTAGATCCATACAAACAAGTGGTCTAACAGCCAGATGAGAAATGTTGGGTACTACCAAGAATCACCACAATGAGCTGATACATGACCTGGTACAAGAACAAGACTATGTATTAGTATTGGTTGTAATGTTTAGGTAATGGCATATGTTTATTGTTGTGTATCAGTTAGAAGTTGGAAGTAAAGCATATTGTCAGAAATGCATACCATCATTCACTGTCATTCTACGTGTAAGAGGTAATAAATGATGAAGCACCATTTTAACTATATTATAGATATTCTGAAGAATTTTTTTCAGCATTGAAAAAATAAGAATTACTGGGGAGTAGGGTATAAACTGAAATTTCTTTTGGAACCAAAACAAGAATGTCCCCAAATGCCTCTGTTCTGAAGGAAACCAAATATCTCTCAGCGGCCAGGCCCTCCTGGAAAATTCTTGGAGGAAAGATAAGTGCTAACAACTAGCTATAACTTCTTAGGGGATGATTCATCCAGAACATTAAGCTACTCTTACATGGCGGCTACTCAGATTCTGGTTAAAGAAAGAATAACATGATGAACCCTAGGCTTGGGATGGTCCCCGTAAACAAGCAACTTTGAACCACAGTAAAATTGTTCATGCCTTTTAAAAGACAATGCACAGCAATACTACATTTCATTGTGGGGAGTGGGGTGGGCATTACAACATGAGAGCTGAAAGGGAAGAGGTTGGAATTTTCTGAGTGTAGCCTTTGAAGCAGTATTTGCTGACACCTACTTAGGAAGTAATCCATTTTGGGGCCTCACATGTTTTGTCACACCTATTTAAGTTACATTAGAAACCAAAATACCCTTTTGTATTAACAGTCCTCACCTTAAGAGTTCTACCTGTAGAACAGGCAAATTCCTCCTTTGACTTATCCTACAGGCTGCCTTCTGAGAATCAGAAGAGAACAACCAACTTCGATCATTTGAACATGGAGCATCCACTAACACCTAGAGAGAAAAAAGGACAAATGATGCAAATATACACTGACAACGTATTCTTAGGCACAAAGAGATAGAGAAGCTATGTAAAACACGACAAATAGCAAATAAATAAAAACATTTCTTTTGAAACTGAAAATATACCACGGTAAGTTTATTTTTTATTTTTCAAAATATCTGTTCAGCATTTCAGTGGTATAGTCTTTATTACATTTCCTTAGTAACACTTTTCAGAAAATTTTCCTATTTATTTTCGGTGTTTAGGTTTTTTTTTTTTTCTTTTTGAGGGGGAAATTAAAGTCTACTAATGATATTTCATATTCTTGATGAATGCAGAAAAACTTTTACAAAAGTTACTCTTTGTAAACAGCCATTACTATATTTCTGAATTCTCAGCATTTATTTTAAGAATAAAATTCAGTTGACTAAAATGACCTCTTTTTCTTCATCTGTCATACTCTCATATAAAATGTTACTGAATTAAAGCAATACAGTGCACATGTTTGTGTACTGGCCCAAATAACATCTGATCTTTACCTGAGTACCTGGAAATATAAAACATTATATAATCCCCAGTCCCAATGTTATAACTTCCTTTGAACCATGCTGCTCATCAAATGAAAACTGCTTCCATGTTCACTTTATCAAAATTTCCCAGAGTACTAAGAAACTGTATCAGGCTCTGTCTGGGAGCAGATGGAAACTAACAACAACACAACAACATAATTAGTGGTATTACTGGGAGTCCATCAGTTTGTCACAGTGTAATAAAAGTACCTTGTCAAATGTTTCAGGCTGGACATCTCCCATTTCTCTGCCATCCAATTCAGACACTTTAATTGCATTTATCAAAGGCTGTGGGATGAAAGATTCTAATGTCTGCCTCAGCCACCTCAATCTCAGACTATCATATTCATTACAATGAAGATAACCTAAAGATAAGGGATTAAAAAGTTTCAAATGAAGGCAATAGAGATGTTAAATTTCTACTTTTCAGCAAATAAATTTCTGAAAGAAATCAATCATAATTATGCAGAAATAGGCCTCAGGGAAACACTATAATTATCTTCTGCTTTAAAAACAGAAATACATATATTTATACACACACACACACACACACACACACACACACTACATAAAACATTTACAATAGTCATGCCTACATTGCCTCTCAGAAGCTCTCAGCATTTACTCAATCATGTTTAATTTGGGAGGCAAAGCCTACAAGGATTATGGATCTGTAAAGATATACTATCCAACCAATACCTCAGACACAGTTCTCACTCTAAAGTACTAACTCTTTATGAACAAAGAACAATACAGCACATCTTAATTTTAAATGAAAGAAGGTAAAGTAGTATGTGGAAAAAAGCAAGTGCTATGTGCTCTACAGTAAGAAAGACACGGATTTAAATTATGAGCTGGGACTTTGGAGAAGTTACTTAGCTCTTCAAGAGTCTCAGTTTCCTTATCTATAAAATGGGAATTGTACCTAGCTACTTCACAGATTGGTTGTTAACATTAAATGTGATAACTTTAGTAACATACTGAGCATAGTACTGTAAAAATAGTAATAACAAATGTTTATAATAATTACTAACAATTCTTGCATCCTCTTTATGTGCTAGGCATTGTTCTAAGCACTTTACATGTGGTAATACATTTACTCCTCACAAACGTATGAGTTAGATACTGCTATTATTTCTGCCTTACTGATGAGGAAAACTGAGGCCACGAGAGGTTAGGGACCTTGCCTAGCTTAGTTCCAGAGCTGTACCTATTCCTTAAGCAGTACTGCATACTGCTTCTCAATATAGAGGACATTCAGCAAATTATTCTGTTCCTAGTGAAACAGTTGGTTTTTTTAATTTAAATTTATATATTTTTAAATATATATATACAATATATATTAGATATGTATGTATGTGTATATATATGCAAACATATTTTTAAATGCATAATGACACAAAGGCAGACATTAAAAATTACCTGAAACCACTTGTCTTCAGATAACCTACATTTAACATTTTGATAAATAATCATACCATATTTCTTTATATATATCCTCACATAAAAAATTTTAAATAAATGGAATTAAATGATATTTTTGGTAGTGTCAGTTTTCTCTCTATTCTTCATCTACCCCCTCCACTAGCTGCCCCATCAAAAGTAACCCATGTTGGCCAGGCGCGGTGGCTCACGCCTGTAATCCTAGCACTCTGGGAGGCCGAGGCGGGCGGATTGCTCGAGGTCAGGAGTTCGAGACCAGCCTGAGCAAGAGCGAGACCCCGTCTCTACTATAAATACAAAGAAATTAATTGGCCAACTAATATATATAGAAAAAACTAGCCGGGCATGGTGGTACATGCCTGTAGTCCCAGCTACCCGGGAAGCTAAGGCAGCAGGATTGCTTGAGCCTAGGAGTTTGAGGTTGCTGTGAGCTAGGCTGATGCCATGGCACTCACTCTAGCCTGGGCAACAAAGCAAGACTCTGTCTCAAAAAAAAAAAAAGTAACCCATGTTATTAACCTGACATATATACACCAACATACCAGATTGTATTATACACACTTCTGTGTCTCCTTATTCTCCACATACATCAATACCTCAAAGGAAATAGTCCCAAGTCAATTGGCAGAGATAAAAATAATTTTTAAAGGTCGATAAATAGTACAAAGAACAGATGTACCATCCTTTATTCAACCATTCCCCGACTTTTCTGTGTTCACACTGTTGTAACTAATAACATCACTCAGTAAACATCTTACATGGTATGCTTTACATGGTCCTTACATGGTATGCTTTTATTGTTATGGGACAGCACCACAGCAATGAATAGGCTTGAGGAATTTTTAGTTTTAGTAAATACTACCAATTCATTTCAACAACCCCCCACAAGAAGTGTTATTGTTAGTATGATACGGGCTATGATGTCATTGTATATTCCTTGATCAGGAACAGTCTTTTCATTTTACTACTGGCCATTTGGTTTTCCTTCTCTGTTAGCTCCTATTTTTATCCTTTGCCTACTTTTTTCCCATTGTACCATTTATATTTTTCTTATTAACCAGTAAGATAGTTTCATATTATAAATATTAAACTTTTATCTGCCATCTGGTTTGCAAATGTTTTCTAAATTACCTTCTGAATTTCTTTGTATCTTTTGTATAAGTTTTGCAATTTGTTTTGGCATATTATGGGGGTACAGATTTTAAGGTTTCAATAAATGCCCTTTCCCCCCTCCCCCCACAAGTCTGAGTTTCCAGCATGACCATCCCCCACATGGTGCACATCTCACTCATTATGTATGTATATACCCGCCCCCTCCCCCCTCCCAATACCCTATTACTGTAGTACTGTAGTACCTATGTGTCCACTTAGGTGCTGCTCAGTTAATACCAGTTTGCTGGTGAGTATATGTGGTGCTTGTTTTTCCATTCTTGGGATACTTCACGTAGTAGTATGGGGTCCAGCTCTAACCAGGAAAATATAAGATATGCTATATCACCGTTGTTTCTTAGAGCTGAATAGTACTCCATGGTATACATATACCACATTTTATTAATCCATTTTTGGATTGATAGGCACTTGGGCTGTTTCCACAGCCTTGCAATTATGAATTGTGCTGCTATAAACATTCAAGTGCAGGTGTCTTTTTTGTAGAGTGTCATTGGATCTTTTGGGTGGATGCCCAGCAATGGGATTGCTGGATCAAATGGTAGATTCACTTGTATTGCTTTAAGGTATCTCCATATTGCTTTCCACAGAGGTTGAACTGGTTTGCAGTGACACCAGCAGTGTAGGAGTGTTCCTCTCTCTCTGCATCCACGCCAGCATCTATTGTTCGGAGACTTTTTGATAAAGGCCATTCTCACTGGAGTTAAGTGATATCTCATTGTGGTTTTGATTTGCATTTCCCTGATGATTAGAGATGTTGAGCATTTTTTCATATGTTTGTTGACCATTCTTCTGTCTTCTTTAGAAAAGTTTCTGTTCAAGTCCTTTGCCCACTTTTTAATAGGGTTATTTGATTTTTTTCTTGCTGATTTTCGTGAGTTCTAAGTATATTCTAGTTATTAGCCCCTTATCAGATGCGTAGGATGCAAAAATTTTCTCCCATTCTGTAAGTTGTCTGTTTACTTTCATGAATCATATCACCCTTTTATAATTTCTAGGTTTTTTTGTTTTATTTAAGGTAGTCTTCTCAATCATTTTCAGATCTGATTCAACTAAACATTTAGACTCACACAGGCCACATTTGTTATCACACTACACAGGACAGGAACCACAGCTTTCTAAGAGGGCAGGGTGAGCCATTCTTCCTTCCCACATTCACACAGGTAGTAATTCAAGTGCAAAATAAGACTCCCATTGAGGCAGGTGCAGGATCTGTCCTGTTTTAAAAGCCTCATGTACAACAGGAACCAAAATTTCTAACAACTCCCTAGGCACAGCTTCAGGGTCCTCATGGAGACACGTGTAGTTATAAGAATCACTGCACTCAAGAAAACTCAAAGCATGCCATCTCTCTTAGATCTCTAGGGTTTATTTATTCTTTCTCCCAGTGTACATGCAGTTTACCAATCAGGGTCATTTTTATCATAAGCAATGTCATCTAGAAACACTGTGATACTCTCTGTCAGGTTACCAAGAAAATAATGCTAGAGAACTAACTAAAAGTCACATTATAAAGTACTGGGAAAAATTTTTTGTAAAGCTTCCGCTCAAATACATAAAGGTGTTTATATGTTGATTTGTGGTTTTTTTTCTGACTGACACTACAGCCTAGGCAATATAGTGAGACCCTGTCTCTAAAAATAATTTTTTTTTTTTTTAATTTGCCATGTGTGGTGACTCAGGCCTATAGTCCCAGCTACTTGGAAGACAAAGGTGGGAGGATTACTTGAGGCCAGGAGATTGAGACCAGCCTGGGTGACACAGAGAGACCCAATCTCCTAAAAAACAACAACAACAACAACAGCAAAAACTTTTAATGACTTCCTATCATCCACTGAATAAAATTCAAACATCTAGTCTTTAATTCAAGATCCACAATAGCACTCAAGACAATCTTTCAATTTTAATCTTCCACTATTTCACCTATATACTCTGTGTTCCACCAAGCTTGATTGACTATTCCATTTCCCAAACATACTTTGTACCTCTCTTGTAGTATTTACCATATTTTATTTTATGACAGGTGTTTATGTTCATGGCTTACTTTTTCTACTACCAGGGCTCCAGATTTCTATATGAGAGGAGCTCAGAAGGTAGAAACAGTTTTGTTAGAAAGAGGAGAGGAGAAGAAAATAATCTTAAAGCACATCTGCAGAGAGACTACACATTTTTATATTTAGTTTGCATGTTTATTTTGGTTGGCTTTTGGAGGATTCATTAATGGAGCTTAAGTAGGTGTCCAAAAGCCCTTGTCAAAGCCTGAAATCACTAGAAAACATTGTAAGACAAAAGTTGATGTTATGGAAGGGGTGCAATTCTAGGGAAGAAAAAGAAAAAATGAAGTAAATCATGGAAGATGGTACACTGATATGATTTGCAATCAAGCTGGTTACAGCTTTGGTCAGTCTCTCAGGATATCTCTACAGTCTGAAATTACAGAGCCTTGGGAAGAAAATGTGGGGAAGATTAGAGTGAGGAGGACAAACAATCTGCTTGCAGCTTCTCGTCTCCTTTCTCTCCTTGGTTAAAGTCCACTCCAAGAGTTAATAACTCCCACCCTACGTTGGGTTTCTGTACCTAGCCCCTCTAAGCAATTGCTAAAAAAGCAAAACAGCACCCAAGGTCAAGTATCACAAGCACATAGGTGTGATGATCTCTGCTTGTCACCTGGCACCCATCCAGAGGCTTCTCAATTTGTGGCAGTGGTAGCATTAGCAGCAGACAACTGCATGAATGGCTTCAGCCTTTTGCTAGG